GTGTAAAAAATTTTAGGCCTTGGATCTTAAAGTGTTATTCTTCAAGCTTAATTAGGCCACATATTGGACCCTAAAACCATTTTTTAATTTGAAAACATCTTGACGCAATTTATAAAAATATTTGGATGTTAATCTTGTTTAATTATTAAAATCTGATAATCAAACACTACATTAAGACATTTTCAAATATGTGGTAAAGGAATGATTGAAAGTATAATGTACATCTAGTAGGAAACAATAACAAGAGAGAGAGAGACAACTTTAATTCAATAATTTGCTTCTGTGTAGCAGTCTTTAGCAGTGGATAGAAATCCGAGGACCCAGAAGGTTGAACAGGAGAAGGTACTCCTGGTCACATTCAAGCGGGGAATGGAAACCATGCCACGTAACTAACTCAGTGACCAGCACGCACAGGATCTACCAGGATGGATTAGGAACGGATAAGACTGCATAAATAACTGAAATGAGATACGTGTTCTCAATGACATTGGGAGAGTAGAATGCCCTCTGCTCCCTACAATGACCCACACTGATCAGCAGTGAATATTCGACAATCACTGATAAGGATGACATGGATGCGACTTAATGAGTCTCAAATATTAACTTTTTTCCTCCGACAAATTAAATTCTAAATTTATTTATTAGAAAAATAAATAAAGACGTTTGAAGTATATGTAAGTAAAAATTATTTCCTATTTTAGTGTAAGTGGGTATTAAAATGAGTAAAAGACGCCATTCTGCTTGAATCAGTAATGTCTTATGTAAACAATGCATGCGCCATTGAGCCAATGATTGACGCCGCATGATGTGACGTCATGTGTTGAAGGCAGTCATCTTTTACAGAGATATTAGATTTTCGTAATACTCTGTGAAACAGATTGACAATGACCCACTACCACACTGCAAGTAACTGAACCACTGTCCAATATGGTTCTCTTATTGGGACATGTTCTACTGCAACTACTTCTAGTCAACCTGTCTGATAAAGTGAGACAAGTAAACCTCTCTGATAAAGTGAGCCAATGAAACCTCCTTGATAAAGGAAGACAATGGAACCTCATTGGTAAAGAGAGACTGGGAAACCCCCTTAATAAAGTGAGACAATAAAACCTCCTTGATAAAGTGAGACAATAAAACCTAGTTGATAAAGTGGGATATTAAAAACTCCCTGGAAAGAAGCCTCTGTTTTTCAAATTGCTATGGAGCCTATAAATTTTATGACATAGATTTGTTTTTTTCTCACATTTCGTTCCAGGGTCGAGCATGTGGTGAAAAGAAAAAGAACAAAAAGACTTGTTGTACAGGAATGAAATGTCATCCATATACATGAAGCTTAGGAGTTTGACTCTAACTAAATGAGAAAATGAAATGAAATGGGGTTTAACATCCTACTGTTCTACTCTGACTGGGCTAATGAAAATGTGCATACATGTATGCTATGCAGTATGCTATGAGGACAAATTTTGCCCAGACAAGCGGTGCTACGGCCTACTCTTATATCGTATTCCAACCGCCAAGGGATCTTTTACGTGCATGCCAATGTGCAGCAGGGCCTTTGTTTTTCATCCCATCTAAATGACTATACAGCCGTCCTTGTCAGGCACTCTGTCCTGCACCACCGACAAGGGGAAACCATGCCGGAAAATCCTGATGAACTTTCTTGGCCAACACCGGGAGCAAACCCATGACCTCCAGGCTAGCGAGCCAGTGTCTCACTCACTTAGCCTTGTGGCTCCCTCAGTCACCGTGGCTCCCTCTAACTAGATAGGTCAAGAGAATATTTATTATAATCATGCTGATCCTATCACAGAGCTTAAAGTGTTTATGGGTATTGTAGAATGACTATAATGTCATGCTGATCCTATAATGTCAATAATGAAAAATTACCCTGAAATTGGGAAAAATGAAACCGGATAATTATATCAATCTCTGCTGGGAAAAATGTAGGGTACTGTACCAAGAGGAGGGACAACAACAACAAAAACTACTCTGATCTTGTGCAAAATGAAACAATACAATCTCTGCTGATGGAAGGTAGGGTAGACATACACTGTACCAAGAGGAATGTGGGAGAAATAGCACAGACATATAAAACCGTAAATATTCACTAATCTGTCACTGCTTGTAAATTTATGTCAAAAACATAGGTAAAATATTCAAGTATACATGTCAACCAGAGCTCACACAAATATACGAATATTTGAATAGAAATAGTTTTTTAAGACTATTCCAACTGAATTTTAGTATTCGTTTTTCGATATCAATTAAAAATAACACAATTTGATCAGGTTTTGTCTCATTATCAATTATCAATCAACTGAAATCGTCAATCAAAAAAAACTGAATAGCATTTCTCATGGACATGTTATGGATTATCAGCTAGGTTATTAATTTAGAATACGATTAGAAACTTAAGATTTTCTTTTCGGCCACTTCTCAAACAGAACAGCTAATATACCAAAACGTTATAACAAAAATTATCGTCAAAATCAAATTTTAATTGCTACTTTCATTTCTTTTTAATTGCAAATTGAGATTTTGGCAACCGAAAGTGTCAGCCCTGGTCTCCTGAGGGCAATTTGTAAATATTAACTCATTAAATAAATTTTATATAACAAAATAAACAAAAAGATAGTGGGACATATATTGATTTGAAGGATTAATAGTTTCTACAAATCAGAAATGCACTAGAAAGTGACCAAAAATTTAATCATTTCAAATGAATTGAATAATCAAATAGAATTCGAATAATAACTTATAATATTCAAATTGTAAAATTATCATTCGATGTGAGCACTGTTATCATTTACAAAAGAAATGTTTATGTTTAAATGTTTACATTTAATGCATAATAAAGTCTGGCTATTATTCCATTTAATATATTTCTGTTTGTCTAATTTCAAATTTAACCATCTATGCATCATTGTTCATGTTTCTTTTATAAATATGTGTACTATGGAAATAAATTTACTTATATATCATGAATGATATAGCCATGTTTGTAATTAAAACTAAATTTGCAAAGCTAACAATAAAACACGGCAGGAACCCACTAAATGTACATAAATACACAGTCTTTCTTTACAAGGAAACTATAATACTTTTCTTTTCTTCTTTTTTTCAAAATACAATTTATATTTATAACAGTAAGTGTCCTCAATATAACTTACATATAGAAATGATATATTTAAATCATTTAAATTCCTTTTGTGAATGTGTCAAAATTGTCGTGCAATTTTTAAAAACGGGAAGTAGGGTGAAATAACTGTCTTTATGACACTATTGTGTGTGTGCTATTGTCTCTTTGTTAGTTAAATAGTATTTATTTTTTAAACAGATACATGTACCTGTTGTAAATTAACCTATGAACATGGGATGACAATCTAACAATATTTGTAAACACAAGACTTTACAACATGAACAACAATAATCTATTTATAATGATGTAACAAATGGATTGGGAAGCCGATTTTTATAACCTATTGGCTTGTTTGGGTGTCCCGTGAATAAAATATTGTTTAAATTATAAAAAAAATTGGATATAATTTTGTAATTATTTATATGAAAAAAAAAAAGCCAACAGAACACGTGAATAACAATAGACTCTTATCAAATCATCTGTTTACTTATCTTCTTGTCTTTTATTTTATTAGGGGATTAGCCTGTTATATTTGTTATATAACATAGTTTGATATGTTAATATTTATACAGTGTATTATTATTATATTACCTCCCCCCTCCCCAACCCCCCACTTGAGTGTGTATGTGTATATACCTTTACCTATATTATTATCAATATACCGAGGTTATTAGTGTAAACATTGTCATATCTACTGTTACACAAATGATATTCATCAGTGAATATATTCAATGAATACCCAACAAACAATATATGGGTTAAAGTTTATTGGATGTAATATCCATGTGAAGACTAATTCACAAAAATGTAACTGATAACTAATATTAAATAATTGATATTCTATAGCATCTGCATTTAATGCATATCAAATATACTGAAGGGTACAGATATAATGCATTATATAATTGTTCTTTCAAAAATATAACTGGAGTATTTTGATATATACATGTACCACTAAGGAAGTGATTATTCCCAGTGAATATATTTCTTACAAAGTAGAAGTCAACCAAGAAATTCACCCATACATTTTTTAAATTAAAATATAACTGGTTTTTATTGTCACATGTAAACAGCATAACTGAAATTCTTGATACACATACATATAATTTCTGGAAACTAAATATTCCTAATATGGACTATATTCTATATATTCTATATAATTGGGCATTTCACCAATGACTATACACAAAGTTCATAACATTATAACCATTGTATTACCATATCTGGCCTTACATAATTGTTATTCCCAATATTAATTTCATCCTGCATATCAAAATATACCTTATAGAATACAGACCGGTGTATATGGGAAATAACGGCTGGGGTGGGTGGGACATTACAACTAATCATGAAAATGTGGCTAGTGTTTTCAGTTATTCCATACTAGCCATGAGAATGCCAGTACTATTTAGCTGTAGAAATGCAACAGTTATCATAATGACAAGACTATCATGACCTAAATATAGGTTTTACAATTGTACTTTCCAGTTATCTTTATATAGGTCATATTTTTTAGTGATGTAGTCATTAGTTACTATGCAGTGTGTAGAGAGCACCTGCTTGCTTATCCTCATCACTGAAATGATGCAGTATGTGCATTTTCCCTTGGTATCAATATCTCGGTCACAATCTCTCATTAACATAAACAGCGAAGATCACAACCAAACACTCACGACGTCATACAGACACTTAGCACTGCTCATTAGGAGGTTTCTTTATTATGCTTTCATGGGAATATTGATTAGAAATGAACATGATATTAAGCTGAAAGCTGATAATGAGTTATTATTTACAAACTGGAAGGAAATATATGTTGCTATTGAGACAAGTATATGTTAATGATATTGTGCTGTTGGCTTACCGTCCGAGAACGATCCATTTAGTTCTACTATGATGCGGACCTTTCCACTCGGCTCGAGATCAACCTATGTAAAATATAGACAAATAATTGATATTAAATACGTTCTGAGCGATATATTATTGTTTAATCATCATTGTAGCCGATTCGGCTCGTGAAATATTAATATTTATGATCATGAGAAAATAAAATAAAATGATAATATTCCGGCAGTATTGATGTAAGCCGTCTGACCAGTGTGATTCTAGCGACATTCAAGGTCGCCCTATAATCCTCTTAAAGATAAGATTTAATCAACACTATCTTATTAGATGTTTTTACAAGCTCGTTAACTTACCCACATTTCCGAAGACTGTTTTAATTCGTCAAACGGTATCGTTACATTGGCCACGAACTCGTCGGGAGGAATGGCTGCGTCGTGAAAGACAGTTATTCCAAGATTTTGGCCATTATGTATCTCGGTGATTATATCCTCCTTCCACCTCGGCGTCAAAGTTCGAGGTTTAGAAGTCGTTCTGGCCACATAAACTTCATCAATATCAATAGATACGTACGGATCTATTTGCTGGGCCGCCTTATTCGGACCCATTTGATGGCGGGTTGCGAAGTCGGTGGGTTTTAGATCCACCGCTTCGCAAACCCTGATCTTTATAGAACCGTTAAAATACACCATTTTGCCTATATCCACACATAAACCCCCTAATGGGGTGGCTAACCATCCACTCTCACAGTATATTTCCGTTTGGCTGACATCTAAATCCCGTAAAAATCACAAATTACAGCGATTCTCGACTAGCTACCATGAAAAATATTACGGAAGTTGTAATGCGAAATCTGCAGCAGACCTGTGTAGGAAATGCAGTACCCTGTGCGCATGCGCGTAATCAGTCTGTGACCTTTGTCCCTTCGATTTGCTGAAAACTGAGAAAATTGTGAATACATAAGAACATTCGCTAAAAAAGGGGTTTTGGCTTTGGGTGATAATTAAAAATATATCCAATAATAATCCTGTAATAATTATTATTTTCCGAAACAATTATTGATTCATCTCATGTATATAGATCATATTGTAACGATTTCACAGAATATGAGATGCGCTATAAATAGGATATTACATTTATATTTATATGGTATACAGGGAAACACCTCTTTAAACATAAATGACTAGGATTTTTATCCAATTTCACAACAATATAGTTATATTCATTTGTTATAAATTTAGTATTCATTTAGTACTTTCTTTGCTTTGTTTTCATTTTGTATTCGCTTTGTTATTGTTAAGAATATTTAATGAGATAATTTCTTTAACTCGCCTCGCAGTTTTAGAATTAGCTAGATTGAATATGGGATGAGAATAGCCGAAATTTAAAACAATTTGCAATTTGTATCAGAATTATATAGAGTTGTCTTGGTTTTATTAAAAACGTACTAAATTCCTTTTTGATTCCAAGTTGTTGACTGAACCTTTAAACACATCTTGGAAGCAAAAGGGAATTTAGTAAGTTTTTGGACTGTGAGTAGTGCATCTGTCCCGGCAAAATTTCCCTCATAGCACATTACATGGCGTACGCCCGCCTTCATTAGTCCAGTCGGCGCAGAACATTAAATCCGATTTCATTTTTGTACCTTTTATTAATTCATTTTTAAAGAGCAAAACAATCACGTCCAGTCAACACGTACTATGAAATTGGTCATCTACATACTTTTTGATTCTCAGAAAACTCCATTATTATATTATTTCTCTAAAATAACGTTCGAAAACTCTAATTATTAAATTGGTTGGCTACCAAATTAACGTTACAGAGAGATGAACAGTGGGTACTACTTGAGAATATTGCAGATACCGGAACTTCAATTGTTAGAATTTCAAAATTAATAGGCCAATACATATTCAACAATTAATATGATAAAAAGCTGTTTAATGACAATAAATTATGGCTTTATACACATAATTATTGCCTTTGTAGTTTGTAAATTCAACTTCGTTTCACCAACAGCATTCTTCCCGTAACATTCTTTACTGGGTTCCGCGTAATTTCCGTGATATATGACCGTTAAACGTGCATTATTGCAGACACGCGTCGATTGAGCGGGCGTTATTGCACATAATGACCCAGGCATCACTGCTTTCTTCGGGGAATATAAATATTTTTAAAGTGAGCATTCTGAATTTATGAAACATTTTTTTAATTCAAATCTTAAAGATTGATAATAAAAACTCCTGCTGGAACAAAGTTCCCTGTGATTTGTAATCGATTTGAAAATATTGATATAGCGGGAATTGAGTTATCTCGACACGGTTTATTTTATACAGATTAAGGTATTGTGGGGTGCTCCGGGTAACTTTTTTTGTTGTAGATGTACAGTGAATAACGGAAAATCACCTCTAAGATAATAAACAAGAGAGAGCTGATAACCGAATGTATTTGATGGTTTACATTACATAGATGACAGCACTACTTAGTCCAATTTGTAATATTCAGTCGTTTTTCTCCAAGAGGCCAACGGTCGCTCAGTGAGTAATGCGCTGATTCACTAACCATGAGGTCCGGATTCGTCGGGAAGGATGAGGGACTGGCAAGGAACAGCGACATGTCCCGGGTCGGATCCAAGATTTTTTTTTGCAGGAGGGCGTTTGTCAGGTTCATGTTAAGGAAATATGACAGTTGACAATGCATGATGCCATCATAGTCTCCAAATTACGTAGGCATACATACACAGTGAGCTTTTTAAAGGACAATATTGGTGTCAGTCATTATCATATATGTGATAGAACTAATTAAACACGTTCCAAATATAATTTTAACACAGAGATCATTGCTACGTTAGCTGAGTAATTCAGGTTTCCTGAATCGGAAGTGACGAACGCCAAAGGAAAACATTCCTCTATATAAGTGACTGAAGTGACGAGTGATAACAGATACATGGGCGAATTTCTGCTCACTAATAATTCCTTCCAAGACCAAAAGTTGTTGTGTGAGACTGCGAGAGGATATCTGACCATTCATAAAAAGAATTGACTGCCACTAGATAAGAGAACACGAAAGAAAAACAGAAAAAGTCCGTGCATTACCATGTTTTTATAAGGTATAGAATGAATATAAAACAAGGGAATGTACGGACTATTTCTATTTTTCTCGTGTTCTCTTATCTAATGACATTCAATTACTTTATTGAATTGTCAGGTATCCTCTTACAGCCCCATATAACAACTTTTGGTCTTGGAAGGAATTATTAGTGAGCAGAAATTCGGCCGTGTATCTGTTATCACTCGCCACATCAGTCAGTTATATAGAGAGATGACTCGTGTTTTCCTTTGGCGTTCGTCACTTCCGATTCAGGAAACCTGTATTACTCAGCTATCGTAGCAATGCTCTCTGTGTTAAAATTATATTTGGAATTTTTTTTAACCAGCTCTATCACATATGTGATAATGACTGGCACCAATATTGTCCTTTAAAGATAGAAATCCAACACTCCGTTTGACGTCATTTTTTATAATGAATTAATAGGGTCACATTGTGATTCATTTTCATTGATGCAAAGCTTTAATTGTGATATCACACATGTCTATCGTTATCTTCCGCTTTGAATGCCCATCCCATCCCACCACCTGACGATAAAGGGAAAGCACCCTTACACTTTTCTCATAAAAAGTGTTGTTTTACACCCCCTCGGGATCTGCCCCAGGTCTAGTCATTAGGGTGGGATGGTAAACCCATGTCCCGTATAAATTTTTTGCACGTTGAATGACCTTTGCTTGTCGGAATTCGTTGAAGAGTAAACGGACACTTCTTTGCCCGGTTGGTATAGGATAGTAGGACGTAAAAAACAAGTTTCATTTCATTTTTACCAATTGGTTTTTTTTTTTTCGGATTTTATGGAAACACTCATCGTCACCGATTGTATGAAATGATATATTTTTTTTAAAGATATTCGATTTTCGACGATTTTCGTAAAAACGACATACATTCGTCGTTGAATCATTGCTTTGAATAAATAAATTAATTAAAAAAAGAGAATGGTATCATTGTCATCCACTAAATGGCAGTTAAAGATACATTATGGGAGATTTAATAAAGAGCTGGCAGTTCTCACTATAATAGTTAAAAAACTGAGTCTTTAGCGATTGAATTTTGGGCCAAGCATTGATCATCATTACTAAAGTCGGTTCGATTAAAAACATAGTCCGGAGGGCCTGACAAGGACAGCTGTCTAGTCGTTCGGATGGGACGAAAAACCGAGGTCCCGTGTACATATTGGCGTGCACGTAAAAGATCCCTTGGCAGTTGGAATTCGATATAAGAGTAGGCCGTAGCGCCGCTGCCCGGGTAAAATTTCCCTCATAGCACACTGTATGACGTATGACCGTCTTCATTAGCCCAGTTTAGGAGCATAACAGTAGGACATTAAATCCCATTTCATTTCATTTCATTTAAAAAAACATAGTCTCGATTATCCATTTTTTTATTTAATCAGAAGCAGCAGATCGTGTTCTAATCCAGTAAATATCGCAGGCTAGCGATGCCATCGAGAGTTGATTATGGTCGGGATAAGTTAATTAATGTCTAATTAATAATTTAGATAATATTTCGGGCATAAAGAAAGACCAGCAATTGGCAGATTTATTATAGCTCTTGCATAATGTATGTTTAATGAAGCAACATGGGCAGTTTATAGATCAGATAAGTAGGACGTTAAACTCCATTTCATTTCATTTATAGATCAGATAATCCCTTTACCTGGATGTTAGCGTATATACTAATGTCCAAAAGAAAGTATTCACTGTACATTTCATTTCGTCCTGCTTCAAACAAAGTCGTTTTTCCACTGTATGTGGTATTTGGGTACGATGTCAATTTGTTTTGCTATTTATTTGCCTAGAAATATTGAGTTTGGACGCACGAGACATGTTCAATGTAGTTTTATCAGTGTAGTTTTGATTCAAACAAAACTTAGTCATATTTTTAGTGTGTATATATACTTTCTTTTGGACATTGGTATAGATCAAACGATTACAGTCGCATAAAGAAGGCGGCGTGTAATCAATATAAACAATTGTAAACTTCAAGTTACCATGTTTTATTGATCGTGGTTTCAGATCATGGTAGGGTGCACATTTTTTTAAAAATCGAAGTGGGGCGTCGGACTTTAAATGCCGAGAAACATTGTTCTGTGTCCATGTTTTATGAACTCATTTAAATTTTGGATATGCATATCTATAACATATTTTTGTCCACTTTTTGCAAAACTGTCGGTGATTAGTAGGACACCATATTAAAAGTGGGAAGCATTTTATAAATCCTATGTGTATTAGATGTGTAAAATATATCACATAGTCTATGTGTATTAGATGTGTGAAGTGTATCACATAGTCTATGTGTATTAGATGTGTGAAGTGTATCACATAGCCTGTGTATTAGATGTGTAAAGTATATCACATAGTCTATGTGTATTAGACGTGTGAAGTGTATCACATAGCCTGTGTATTAGATGTGTAAAGTATAACACATAGCCTGTGTATTAGATGTGTGAAGTATATCACATAGTCTTTGTGTATTAGATGTGTGAAGTGTATCACATAGCCTGTGTATTAGACGTGTAAAGTATATCACATAGCCTATGTATTAGATGTGTAAAGTATATCACATAGCCTATGTGTATCAGCTGTGTAAAGTATATCATATGTATAGTAGAGGTGTAGAATATATCATATGTATATTAGATGTGTAAAGTATATTACATAGCCTATGTGTATTATCGGTGTAAAGTATATTACAGATCCTTTATGCATTTTAGATGGGTGAATAATCTCAAAAAGCCCTTGTGTGTATAAGCTGTGTAAAGTATGTTACATAGCCTCTGTGTGTGTGTGTATTAGTATATCACATGTGTATTCGATGTGTAAGGTATGTTACACAGCCTATTGTAAAGTTTATCACACAGCCGATGTGGGTTATATAATTTAAAGCGCTAATACACAGCCTATGTATGTAAAGCATATAACATAGCCTATGTGTATCAGATGTGTGAAGCGAGAGAGAAATGGGGTTTAACGTCCACTCGACACAACTAGGTAATTTCGGGACTAAAATATGGTTCTATTTAATTACATAAATCTCGTGTGCGTAGGAGGACCCAGAGAAAACCCGCGAGGTTGGACAGGCGACCCCAGTCCTTGACGCACCATCGGGGGACAGAACCCACGCCAGTTGACTCAATGACAGATCTTATGATACAACGCGCACGTGTTAACCATTCGACCACCCAACCCCCGTAAAGTATATCACATAGCCTGTATGTATTAGCTGCGTAAAGTATGTCACATAGCCTGTGTGTATTAGCCGTGTTAAGTATATCACATAGCCTGTGTGTATTAGCCGGTTTAATATCACATAGCCTGTGTGTATTAGCGGTGTATAGTGTATCACATAGCCTGTGTGTATTAGCCGGGTTAATATCACATATCCTGTGTGTATTAGCGGTGTATAGTGTATCACATAGCCTGTGTGTATTAGCGGTGTATAGTGTATCACACGGATTTTGTATTAGCGGTGTAAAGTATAATACATGTGTATTAGAGGTATAAAGTATATCACAGAGCTTATGTGTATTATATAGAGTCTGCGTAGGCGAGTGTATACTAGGGGTGTAAAATAGATTCTGTTATAACAGTGGAGTATGATGTTTTTAAATACATAAAGTACATTGGGGTGCGGGGGTCTATGTACATTAGAGGTGTTATGTTTTACTGTCAACAATACAAATAAATAAATAGATGAAGTTGCTATAGAGGTCGAAGATATGACGAAATGTTTGGTTATCTGTCGATATACAATTGCATTGTAAATACATGTATTATTTAAAAAAAAAGAGGGTCTGCCCTCGGACCCCGGGAAAATGAGGTCTGCTCTCAGGCCTCGGGGGGGGGGGGGGGGGACAGCTGAGATTAGGTCGTCTGAGACCTAGGGGGAGCAGCTCTAGATAGACGTTACTATATCTAACCACAATGACTTTCATATGTAGAGTTGTACATGTAAATATGTTATCCAGTATTGAAATATCCTTTTTTTTAAAAAAAAAAAAGGTTATCTGTCGATCGCTACGCATCATTTTTAAAGATATAGCTTCTCATATTTGAGCTATAAAGCTAAGGATCCCGTTGTTCATAGTAGATTATATAGCCATCGAAGATCGAAGTCAATATTTTCTACGATGTCACCTAGGTGGAAGTGGACGTAAAACTCTAGGAACGAACGAACAAACGAAGTCAACTCAAATTCCATTTGCTTATTTAAAATACCACATTTCTATTAAGGTAAAATTCGGTATATCCGAGTGATTTATTATGTCACTCCACCCGCTCACTCTCGGGTTCGTTCCTCGAGATTTTCCGGCCTGATTCCCCCCAAACTGCACGCAGCGATCCATCTACGTCATACTTCGAGATAATGTTCTCAGGCGGAGCTAGCTGTAGACAGGCAGCCTAAGTTTTGGATGGATTTCCCCATGTCAGTGGTGCAGGACGTGGTGGTGGTGGGGATGAGGCTGACAAGAGCAGTGTCTAGCCGAACGGATGGGCGAGCACTGAAAAGTAAACTTGACAACTGGAATTCGAAATAAAAATAGGCCATAGCGCCGCTGTCAGGGCAAACCTCTTCTCATAGCACACTGCTTGGCGTATAACGGTGACCATTAATTCTGCAGTCGGTGCAGAAAAGTAGGACGTTAAGCCCCATTTAATTTCACTTTTCGTCATACTTTGTGCTATTGCTGTGTTACTATACATGATTCTCATAGTTCCGAGAGTTGGATGGCCGATCCGTCTATAACGCCCGCGCTTTAGATCATAAAGTCAGTTATTTCGACCCCACAATCATTGTATGTTATAAGGACTATGGTCACAAGCCTAACCTTGCGCGTTTCCTCAGGTTCCCCCACTTACCTCTCTTTTTTAAAGACACCTGCGCGTAAGCGAATTATTGACATTTCAATCATTGGTTTGCGCTTTTTAGTTTCCCTTTTTTTTATCAGTGTCGAAGTAAGGCTGGCCCTTAAGCTCCCCCCCCCCCCATTAACCCCCATTGCTAATGGCCTGGTTGAATGTACCGTTTGTCGGGCTATGTTCTACGGACCTGGTTGAATGTACCGTTTGTCGGGCTGTGTTCTTAGACACAGAGCAGTTTATTTGTCGTGTGTGCATTGCAATACAACTTTTGAAAAATGATTAAAGGTTGTTTTTTTGTTGAAATGTATAAAGAAATGGCCATGCCGCAGTGCCTGCCCGTTTGATACAAGCTCGATACTGTTTCGAAACGTCCATAGAGTAATATAAAAAGTGGGCGTGTCATACCCCCGATACGCCTACCAACTACAAGCTCGTCCTTATGCTCAAATAAACAATGTCACAACCTGTATTTGAACGCAAACGAGGGGATAACTTTGAGATATACCATCGAAAATTTCCGAATTTGATCAATTTGTATATTATAGTTTCTTTGTACGCCCAGAAGACAATCCCACAAGCTTTTAAAATATGCATCAAGATTTTTTTTTTTACTGTGTCGCGTTCATAACATTAACTGAGAGATAAAGCCGAAATATTGGTTAAATTGCTTTTATATAATCTACCTAGATAATTTGACGCATCTATCAATAAAACAACACTAGGTTGTTTCAAATTAGCCCCAGTGGTAAAAAGGAATAATATGTGAATTTCTGACAAGGAAGTGAAATTTGACCAGTCTGCTAAGCTTCAATATAATTTCAGCGCCAAGTTCTTCGGACTTACGGAATGAGAAATTAAACATTTTCAAATTTAAATCAGAGGTGCAATATAATTTTTAAAGAGGTATTCAATCTGTGTGTAGGCTATAATATATTTATTTCTAATACTTTTCTGGGTAACGTATGTCCACAAATTATATTTACGACTATTTCAACATTTCAACCTTATTAGACTTTCCAGCTTTCCAGCGTATTAATTAAGGAGGGGCGTGTTTATTGGACATACTGGCTTTCTTTAATACTTCTTTCCTTTGATCATTCTCCTATTTCATCTTTCACAGCCAATAGATTGGGACTGAGTTATATAATTTTTCCTTTGACTCTTCAGAAGAAACGGGAGTGATAAATTGACCACCAAATGGCAGAGAGACGGGTCTTAGTTCTATTTATACATCAAATGGGTCTATGGGCGTGGTAAATATGCAACAGATTATGACATGTGATGGACAAATAATCTATGAGCCCTTCCCTGCTCTCGGATTTCATCAGTAAACCCACAGCCAGTTAAACGCGACTAAAAAACTAAGCTCAACCCAGTTATCTCCCATTTCTAAACTTCCGGCAAGAAAGACGTAGCAGACAAGATTGAAGTTACCTGTGTTGACTAGATTTGTTTTACATAATTTTATCACACGACGCAGCTTATGTTTTGAATTTATGTAGCCCTAAGATGTCTCTAAAAGCAGGTTTTCGAATGTTACGACATATACAGCTGTCAAAAAGGTTTGCAAATTAGGCGTCAACGGCTTTACATGCAAAAATCTGAGCATCGTTTTTAAGATTTAGCAGATTTCATCATTGAATTTCATAATGTTTTGGGTTTTTTTTTAAATTAAAAGATATTATCTTTTCGACCAAGCTGAAAAGTAAAAGTGTCGAATTAATTCTAGAAGCATCCATTGCACTTTGAACAAAAAAGCAATTTAGGTTATTGTAATTCATTTATCAAAATGTCTCTTGGTTAGAGACCTAGAAATGGTTCTGGTTACTACTGATGTCTTCCGCCTTACTCCAGCCACAGTAGTGGCTCATTCCTTTGAACAAGTTTTTTTCGTCAAATCACTACAGAAAGGTTACTGGCCTATAGCTTCCTTAATTTACACATAAACTGACCAAAACTGTACTGTGCATAGCTTAACATAATAAACCAATTCCATTGAAATAAAGGTAAAGCCTAATTACCGCATATAATGATATGTACCCGGTACGTGAAATTTCTCGCCTACCGAACTTATTTCAACTGGGCGGTATCATGGCGGCTTTCACATTATAAGAAACATGGCTTTGAAAATGTAGAAGGCATTACCACAAAGAAAAACTGTTTGGTAACTATTTTTGTGGTCCTGTCATCACTATTTGTGATAGAATTACTTATTTCAATACAAACTGTAATGATATGTGTTGACAATTGTGCGTATGAACCTATTTGAATTCGCGTAAAGATTCTTAGACTGTATCAATTGTAGTGTTAAACACAGTTTAAAAATACATTTAATTGTAGCTAGGTTAGACCATGGCCCTTATATTATTATAAGGTCCATGGTTAGATTAGACTATTGAAGAAGTTATTTAGTTAAACTTAGGGCCACATAATTTTTGAAAATCCACTGGCCTCTGCTTAAGTCCTTGTACAGTATTTACTACAACATTTAATGAATATTAAAATGTTAATATCTGACCTGATTTGCCAGAGATTTCACATTCTAAGGTAGATCTATACAGTTAAATTTAAATATCTCTGAATACTCAGTTAAACATGCATTATGCAAGAGCTAAATCTGCCTATTGCAGGTCTTTCTTTAGGCCTGAAATGTTTTCTAAAGTATTAATTAGACATTAATTAACTGATCGAGGCCTTAATCAACTCTCGATGGCATCAGATTTCTCCGATATTAAATAGATTAGAATGGTTCAGCGACTTTGATTTAATCAAATATGGAGGTCCGAGACTTAGCTTCGATCAACCAGTACGGTGGTTGAAATTATTGCACACGTCTGTCAAACCTTCAAAGGCTAATATCTTCACTTGCAATAGAGTAATTTGAATGAAATTTTCAAATTATTTATTTTACATCATCCACTTTCGAACTATTATAGCAAGAATGGCTAGTTCTTTATCTAAATCTTACATAATGTATCTTTAATATATTTTTTAATTTTTTTTTTTTTTTAAAATCGGATATAGCAGTATACGAGCAATGAGACCATTAATTTTGATGCCCTCTCAGCAGATGAGATTTAGTTCACAGGTACCAGAGAAACAAACATCTACAGATGTTCTCCATCTTAGCAAAAACTGCATCAAAGTAAGTTACAGTTAGCTTATACATTTAAAGTAGCTAAGTCTCTAACTCAATATCATCTAAAGTCTTACATGTTGTAAATACAAATTATTTGTCAATTCAAATCAACATTGATGTTGTGATCTTACCAGGAAAAGGCAGGCTTCTGATATCCAATATTTAAGACAAAATAAACAGGTTACCATTGGTACACAAATCATGTACCAAGTGACCAGAAAGAGTGAGGCTAGACATATTCAATTAATCATGTCAAACAGTGACACCATATCTTATCTGGAAAGCATGCACAATAGACTGGAATAACCAGATGCTAGAAATTGCTATTCAGTTGAGACTCGTGCCATATTTCGCTGGACATAACTGATTTAAAAATAGAGTCAAAAAGGAAACAATTGAATGTAAATCAGTTTACATTCAATCAGATTACATTATTATAGGCGTTGCGACCCATTTGGGTCAATTTCTAGGTCCCAAATATTAGCGATTTAGTAATGGTGCGTGATTTGCCGTTTTTGCAAAACATTAAATTTCTCGAGGCTTAATCCACACTAATACAAATACAATGTTCTCAGATTGATTATTTAACATTTAATTAAAGATACATTATGGGAGATTAGATAAAGAGCTGGCAGTTCTCACTATAATAGTTAAAAACTAGATAATGTAAACGGAATATGGTGAAAATTTCAGTCAAATTGATCCACTCTGAACCGAGAATTTAGTGATTGAATTTTTGTCCTAGCCTCGATCATCATTACTAACGTTGGTACGATAAAAAAACATAGTCTAAATTATCCATTTCATGATTAAATCATAAATGAAAGTTGAGCAGCAAATCAGATCCTAATCCAGTAAATATTGCAGGCTAGTGATGACATAGAGGGTTGATTATGGTCTGGATAAGTCAATTAATGTCTAATTAATAATTTAGGTAACATTTCAGGCCTAAAGAAAAACCTGCAATAGGCAGATTTAGCTCTTGCATAATGCATGTTTGAGAAAACAAAATAAAAAAACTTGATTTTAATTGGAGAAAATTTGTAATTGACCTGATGATAATTAAGATGAGGATGTGGACCTATTTTTGTTTTACAGAGGCTCCAGGAAATTTCCGGTGGTAGCAAATTTTTACGTATACAAGTAGAAGGTGGAGGTTGTTCAGGTTTTCAGTATAAATTTGATCTGGATGATACGTTAAATGATGATGACAGGTAATTTCAGGTTTTTAGTGCAAGTTTTATCTGGATGATCAGATAAGGCCATATAAAAAGAAATATTCTAGTTCTTAGATAATCCTGTGTCACTTCAAAAGGAGCACATGACCTGTTTTTATTTCAAAAAATAATTACAGGGTCATTAATTACAGCACATAAATATTTTAACCTGGTTACAAGAAGTAAATCCATAAAAAAATTTGAATGAATCCATAGACTCATTTATCAAGTACACAACCCTGATAAATGTTAAAGGGACAATAACACTCTTGCTGGCTTGACAGCTCCAGAAAATAAAAAAATAGCCTAATTCTAAGTACTAGATGTGTTAGTGTCTTTTCTGATGTGTTAATTATCCATTAAATCCTATTTTACTTGTCCAAAGGGTTCAAAAATATTTTTAAATCCAAGTCACATTTGAAAAGCTTTACGTCAGGCTTTTCAAATCATTTAGTTGAATTTTTCCAATTTTTTAAATTAAGTGTGTTAAGATGAAATTTGTATCATCAATTAATTGGAATATTGTAAAATAGTACAATTTGTTGACCAGAATAAAGATTGGGACATATTATTCAGTTACAACAAGAGTGGTATTAAGCCTTTAATGGCAATCATTAATGATACAGTTCTATAAACAACAATATGATATATAGAAGTCAAGTAGCAATCTTTTGACAAAAAAAACCAAAAAAAATGCACAAAAATAAAAATCTCCCTCCCACATCAAATTTTTGGTAAGAATTGTCTTGAGAACCTGAATATTTTTTTTTGCTTGGCCTAAATGATGAGGACCAGTAATTTCAGGTTTTCAGTATAAATTTGACCTGGTCGATCAGTTAAATGATGACATGTAAAACAAAATTCATTAGGAAGTCAAATAATATAGATGTTGAAGAAATGAGTCTTGACAGAAAGAGAGAGAAACTAGACACCAACTAGGTAATTTCAGGACCAACATCATTCAATTTATTTCAATAACTCGCTTGCACGTAGGAGTTTTCAGTATCAATTTGATCTGGATGATCAGTTAAACGATGACGACAGGTAATTAGGTATTTTTTAAATAATCCTGTGACATCAAGTACACCACTATAAGGGATGAAGATATGATTTGGATTTGGAACAAAAAAATAATCAAAATAGAAAAAAAAACCTCCAGTCATTTTTCCTGTCAATTATCTATATCTCAGTATATTATTTAGAATTTAGGATATGTTCATTGCTAAACAGGTTTAGGTATATTAAAAGAACTTAGGGATGGAAGTAAAATTTGCATTTGGAACAAAATGTTCAAACGGTCATATTCTATGAAATTCATGTTATTGTTTTGCTTCTTCAGAATTAGCAATTTCTGAAACATCTCTTCATCTAGTTCTTATATGTCTAAACCAATAGAAAAGTGTTTTATAGATATACGGCTCATCCTAAAAACTATAAATCTTAAAAAACGGCAATACTATATACTGGAAAACACCGGAAAACACCATTTTATACTGAATACCGGAAAACACCGGAAAAACACTAAACACACTAAATACCGGAAAATACCCTAAATAGGTAACATGAAGACTGGCACCCTAAATAGGTAACCCGGAGCCTGGTCCTCTGTGTGCCTGGGTTAGGATTAGGTTTATAGCATAGCCCCTCCGGGTTACCTATTTAGGGTGTTTTCCGGTATTTAGTGTGTTTTCCGGTATTTAGTGTTTTTCCAGTGTTTTCCGGTATATAGTATAGCCCCTAAAAAAGACAATGTTGTATTTTCATAAAAAAATCAACTTTGTGTTATTATAATTAAAAATATTGTCTTGTGAATTTCTTCTACAGTATGGGTAATATTTATTATCAGTGCATTACTTTAGACTTATATTTTATTTACAGAATATTTGAAGAAGATGGAGCTAAAGTTGTAGTTGATGTAGAATCATTAGAATATGTCAAAGGATCGACAATAGATTTTCATCAAGAATTAATACGATCAGCATTTCAGGTTGTGAGCAATCCTAAAGCAGAACAAGGATGTTCTTGTGGGGCCTCATTCTCAGTTAAACTTTGATAATGAGTCTTGTATAAATTATCTCTTGGAAGGACTAGAACTGAAGACTGTGCTTTAATAACTCTGTGAAAAATCACATCCAGAGATTTAAACTGCTTGGTTAGAGTACTACAACTTATGTATAATTGTTAATGCATTAGCAGTCAACTAATGACACAGTGTATCTAATGTCTTAAAGACACTAATGTGTAATAACTAGTTATTATTTCTCCAGTTTAATATGATATAAGCAGTATTTTATGCAAGTTTATCCCTTTACTGATCTGAAGTAATCAAACATAATTTGAATGTTGCTGTGATAAATGTATATAAATTGGATGAAGTAAAGAATTCTACACAGATTTGTCAGTGTTATGTAAAGGATTCATAAGGGGAAATAACTCTTTAAGGTAAAATTAAACAATATAGTGACTTTGTGGATGAAAATTTTCCTGGCCAGAGAACAGAAAGTAAGAAGCAAACAGTATCTCCTTAATCCTAAAATGAATAAAGCACTCATTACTTACTTACATAAATATCTTTTTATAAATTTTTTTTATCACTCCGCTTAACCTAAACAGAAAATGCTCGTATCAAATTAGTGAAGGTATTGTTTATGTAATGAACCTATACACCAAGTTTCATTGTGTTCCTTCCAAAGCATTGACAAATCAAGTTTGCTTACCTCTGCAGAAAATGCTTATCCCAATCTCGATCACTTCGGGACTAACATATGGTTCAATTATATTTTAATAATTGCTTGTGCATACAGGTGGGAGGAAACCTGAGCACCCGGAGAAAAGAGGAACAATATTGGAACATGACTGTTGTCAAAAATCAAAACCGACTGAAAAACCAGAACTGGACTGGACATATGAGTGGACAGGTGACTCTACTTGTCAGTTACAAACTGGGAATCAAAACCACACCATTTGACATGTTCGTTCATATGGCATCCCAATCCCCCCCCACTCAAACAATTTTGTGTAGGTAATATAAATGATCCAGATATACTGGAACACATTTTGAAACACATTTTGAAACACAAACACTCTGCTTCTAATTACCACCAGTGTTTATAATAGGTACAGTAAACTTTGCATAAGTCGGATCTAAGTGGACTGACCAGTTTTATCCGAGTTAAGTGAAGATCCGAGTTAGCCGAAGACCGAAATTCAATCTTAGCTCGATTAGAAATAAACTGCAAGAGTCGGATAATAAATGATTCAAAGGCACATTTCAAGCTTTTGTTCGTATGTACGAGTAGATAACTTCCGTTTTGTCGCCGTCTTTTGTAAAATGTCCTAAATTTTTCTGGAAAGTATCTCATACAGCAGACAGCGAGTTTCAAATTTTCCAGGAAAATTCTATTATTGCGTCGCGTCAAATAGGCTGACTTGAGTCAAAATGATAGGGGAAAGTATTTTGGGGCTCTGTGCATGGAATACCTAACCTCGTTTTAGACGAAACTGACTTAGTCAAATTCTGAACATTCTACCTATCCGACTTCGGCGAAGGAAAAAAGCCAGAATTAGATCAAATGGACTGAACATTTTGAACCGACTTACGCACAGAAATTTAATAAGAAAAATGTGCAGGATCAAAGGGTCCAAACGATTTTATCCGAGTTGAGTGAAGATCCAACTTATGTGAAGTTTACTGTACTTCAAATTTCAAACCTTCTGTAAATTCATACACCTAGAAACCAAACATCCTCTGTGTGCAATGTGGTATTTTTCTGTTCTACTCCATTAACACCAGGGTCCATTCAAGGGGGGTGGGGGGGGGAGAGACACATAGTAAAATCTCTGTCCTTGATAATTGTGCTATTATTATCAGCCAATCAAAAGATTTCATAAATAAAAGGCGAGGGGTAGAGGAACAGGCATTTTATTGCAACTAAAATTGCTGAATTGTTTTTGCAAAATTTTATGAGGCATTGTTTTGTGTGTATGTCACTTCTTTGATATCAAATACTCTTAACCGATTGCCAACCACTATCAATTCACCATGACATTTGGAATTAGTGTTGGCACTTATGCATTGCTTTGTGTTTTTTCTCTGTTGTCTGGTATTCTTGCACTGTTTAGAAAAGCTGTTGTACAAAATAGAATGGATTTATTTATTTATCTGGCTGACACACTATAAACAGTTACATTTATATCATTGTTAGTATATAAAATAAAACGGAAATCAAATTTCACTAACTTCTCATGCAGAAAATAAAACTTAACAACATGTGCCTTACCAATCATGTATTATACTGATGGTAATCACTAATTGTGTGTTATCCCCATGGTAAACACCAATTATGTGTTTTACTGATGGTAAGCACCAATCATGTGCCATACTGATGGTAATCACCAATCACGTTCCGGCCTTATGGTAATCACTAATCATGTTCCGACCTTATGGTATTCACCAATCGTGTGTTTAATGATGGTAATCACCAATCGTGTGTCATACTGATGGCAATCACCTTTTATACTGAAGGTAATCGCTACCAATAATGTGTCACTGATGGTAATCACCGACCATGTGCCATACTCATGGTAATCACCACGTGTTATCCTAATGGCTATTGTATGCCATACTGCTGATAATCACCAAACATGTGTTATACTGACTATGTACCATCCTTCTTGTAATCACTATGTGTTATCCCAATGGCAATGATGTGCCATAGTGTAGCAGCCATAGGCCTACTAATGGTAATAATCAATGTGTCCTATATTGATGGTAATCAACAATCATGTGTCATATTTATGGTAGTAATCACCATGTGTTATCCCGATGGTAATTGTGTGCCATACTCTTCGTAATCATCAATCATGGGTTTTCCTGATGGTAATCACCAATTGTATCCTCCCATACTGATGGTTATCACAAATTATTTCTTGCAATTATAGAATATTCATGGTTGTGCCTTTGTTGTCAACAGAGGCAAATAATTGGATATCTGACATAATTTTTAATATTGTTTTACTAATCGCAGGAGATGGAGAACTGGAATTCACTGTGGTTTAATCAGTTATGCTGGAAATGGGGGGAAAAGCTCACTTTTCTTTTCACACCCCAAAAACTGTTACCGACTTAATGCAGAAACTTGTGAATACTTAGAAATACAACATGATTTGAAGTTATCATACTACAGTATTCTAATAGGATTCTTCAAGGCTGAACCAACCAGATGCAGAAACACATAAAACTACTGATAAATATAACATGATTTGAGGTTAGCATATTGCAGTATTTTTACAGGATTCTTCAAGCTGTTTTGTGAAGCAAGCAAGATTCTGACAAATTATATATATAAGTTATTTCTTGGCTCTTTTCCGTAACTTGACATAGGATGAAGACGGTTCATCATCTTTAGTATCATTGCTAACCTTCCTCTTTGAAGTTCTAACAGGTTTCTTTGATACAGATAATGGTATGGCGACAGCAGTAGCACTGGTATCAATTCCAAAATCAATTCCCGACATCGTGGTTTCTGTCCAAGATTTTAATTTAGGTATAGCAGAGAAGATATCTGTAAATTTTTTATCGCATAACAACATTTTTTGAGTCATATCGGCTATTTTGGTATCCTGTCGATTAAGTCGAGATGTTAATTCAGCTAATTTCTTATCTTGTTCCATTATTAATTTACGCTGTTCATTTACTTTGGTCTTCGATTGCCTTAATCCCTTCTTTAAAGTCTTTATCATGGTGTTTAGAGGTTGGAAAGGTGGAAATACAGCATCTGGGGTTCGTGGACTGTGAACCCAGCGAATCTGACCCGGGCTTGAACTCGTTGAAATGGACTCTGTAAAAATAATTATATGGCAAGGTAAATCAATACATCCCAAAACAATAATATCGGTTGACAATAACGGGCTTGAACTCGTTGAAATGGACTCGGTAAAAATAATTATATGACATGGTAAATCAATAAATCCCAAACAATAATATCGGGTGACAATAACATATTTCAAATTAATAAGGTTGAAAATAAATTCATGATGCTGAATTTCTAAATATCTTTCCTACAAAGCTAAGACTTGATTGTTACGTATATTACAGTATAAAACCCCTTCATGAAGAATAGTCTATTTCTATTAAAAGATTATTATTACTATATTTGTCTTAGACACATGAAGATGGCTCTATGAGAGAGTTTGAGTTTAATGTCCACTGGACACAAACTAGGTCATTTGGGGACAAACAGATGGTTCACTTTTATTTCAACAATTCATTGCACATAGGGGTTTTTAGTTGTGGGAGGAGGCAACCAGATGACCTGCAGAAAACTGAAATCAATAGACACCAATGTAAACTTTAAATGGCCATAATTTACGTTATATGGTAATTGATTGAATTGTCAATATCAGATTTAGATAAAGAGAGGCCCTACGCTATTCTCTCAATTCCACACCCTCAAGACTAGAAGAAGTTGAATATGTATTTTAAAGACAACTGAGCATACATTATATGGTAATTGATTGATTTAAATATTGTTTTGATCAAATTGTTTCTGATTGTCAGTGCCTGATTTAGATGAAGTGAGGCCCTAGGCTATTCTCCCAATCCCCCAACCATCATGACTAGAGGAGGTTGAATATGTATTTTAAAGTAAACACAACCAAGCAAAGCTGACGGTGATGGCAGTGTTTTTTTACTGCAGTGCATGCAAGAAAGGCCTATGACTGTCAAAAAAAATATTATACACCTTAAACCAGAGGCAGCCTAGATCTTAAGACCCAGGAGTCAGTCTGCCAAGGTAATTCTGCCACTCTTGATTGTGTATGGTCTTAACTATATATTCAACTTTTATTCTGGCATATTGGAGCTTTAAAAGTTCAGCAATATTGTATAGACAGTGATATATTGTATAGATAATGTATAGTCCTTGTGACGTCACCTGTCAATCAACCATATTAAGGGTGTAATTGAAAAATTGAAAAGCATTTTTGAGTGTCCGATATTTAAAAATTGATATGTCGAATAATTTTAACCAGATTGATGTGAACTTGCTGTAATGTGTACATAGTAACTACTGGCTATAAGTACATAAAATCTAGATTTATCATCTTATGTGGTCGGTCTTTAAGGTGTGGCATCCAAGGTAAATATACATAAATGGAATGAAACTGGGTCTAGTTAATGTCCTACTGTTCTGCAATTTCTTGGCTAATAAAGACAGGAATACACTATAGTGACTAGTTACGTGGTAGACAAAAACCTACAAATTGTGTTATGAAGAAATGCTATGGTGCCGTATCAGTTTATTTTGGTTGCAGCATTTTCTGATACTGGCAATAGTAGAAAAATGCTTATATTTTTGATCATCGACTGATGAAACACGAACGTTTCATCGAATAAACGAAGATAGTAATTTATTCAGTATTACTGACGTGAACTTGAAAGCTGGTACGTGAATTAAATATGGAAAATTTTCAAATGGTGTACTTAATTGTCGTTATTTTTGTGGTAATCACATACGTCAGAATACGACATTCTTCATAACAAATTACCAATAATTATTTTTGTGGAAGTCTCGTTATATTAAAGGGGGAGAGAGAGAGAGAAATGGGGTTTAACGTCCACTCGACACAAACTAGGTCATTTCGGGACTAACACATGGATCAATTTTATTTCAATAATTTGTTTGCGCGCAAGGGTCTTTAGCAGTGGGAGGAAACCGGAGGACCCAGAGAAAACCCACAAGGTTAGACAGGCGACCCTACTCCTTGTCACGTTCAACCGGGGAATAGAAACCCCGCCGGTTGACTCAATGACAGACCGTATGATACAGCGCGCGTGTGTTAACCATTCGGCTATCCAACCCCCCTGAACAGAAAGGGATCTTTAAATTGTACACAGAACCTTGGTTTTTCATTCCTTCTGAATGACTAGGGTATAAATACAAACCTAAAGCTTCTTCTACAAAACTGGTAGAAGGTCCTGGTAACTGTTGTTTTAATATAGGTACTATGCATTCATCAAAATGTTCCATAGCCATTGAAGATATATCACGAAGCTCTTGTAGAAATTCATGAGCTCTTGGAGGCTTTTTGTCTATACATTGCAAGGTTCTCAAGATCCAAAACAATTCATCTAAAACCTGCAAAAGAAAAAAATGGCCAATTCATTCATCAAATGTAAGGTTTATCATAATAATAATAATAACCAGCAGCTGCCAGGCAGGATACGCCCACATTTTCGAGAGATGGATAGAGAACAAGCTAAAAAGAAAGTGATTTTTCCTTCAATCAAGGGCCATAATTCAGGAAATTACAATTCGATATGCGCAAATATCGAAAGGAACCGAGATCTTTGTGTTATAAACTTACATTTCAAGTTTCAACAAAATCGGATAAAAATTGTGACCTCCATAGGATCCACAACCTTGATATACCATATTTTTACGCTATTTGCGAACGAAGGGCGGCCATTTTGTCTGTCCGTTTTGAGCCAATTTTTCACGATTATGGTGTAACGGTGATATTATAATACGTTTTTTTAAATCGAATAAAAATTATGACCTTTATAGGGTCCACAAGCTAAAAACGCGATTTTTCGTACAATCAGGGGCCATAATTCAGGAAGTTACGGTCCGATATGCGCGAATATCGAAAGGAACCGAGATTTTGGGGTTATAAACTTACATTTCAAGCTTCAACAAAATCGGATAAAAATTGTGACCTCTATAGGGTCCACAACCTTGATATACCATATTTTTACGCTATTTGAGAACGAGGGGCGGCCATTTTGTCTGTCAGTTTTGGGCCGATTTTCACGAAATTGAACTCAACCATCGTTAGGGTGTAACGGTGATATAATAATACGCTTTTTTACAGTGTTCACAAGCTAAAAACGTGATTTTTCGTACAATCAGGGGCCATAATCCATGAAGTTACAGTCCGATACATGCCAATATCGAAAGGAACCGAGATCTTAGGGTGATAAACCTATATTTCAAGTTTCATTGAAATCGGATAACAATTGTGACCTGTAGACTGTTCACAAACAATTGTGGACGGACGGACGGACAGGGGCGACGACAATATACGTCCACATAAAAATGTGGGCGTATAATAAAAGTCTTCATCCTTATAATACATAGGTAATTGAAATCTATTAAATAAAGCCTTGTATTCATGACCCAGTGTATATTATTGTCTTCCCTGTCTGTCGGCAACAATTGCTTGTGGACGCTCTATGGTCTAAAGTTACAAGATGTGTTATCTGATTGGTATGAAATTCATAAATACACAGTGTCAATGTTCACATGCATTTCAAATAACCTTGATGTCTACTAACAATTAATATCAAAAGGTTTGGTCTTGAAGTATAACTTCCGGTTCAAAATGACAGGTTTTTTTCCACTTTAATAGGTACAGTATTGGATGTTACTATACTCAATAATTCATGGTGTAACTTGATTGTTGTCATGACAAGGCAGGACAAAACATACCGAAACATGTCAGTACTCCTTCGGAGTTCTAGTATTTATATATTTCTTACCTTTCCTGGTATAAAACAGCAGAGATCGGAATCAATGTATTTGGTGAAAGTCATGGATAAAAGAGATAATCTGGTTTCTACAGCTGATAGAATATTTACATGTCTTGCAAGTGGATGACTGTGTCTCTCTGACTCACGTCTAGGAAGTTTGCTTTTCACTTGTTTTTGAATTTGACTATGATACTGATCAACTTTCCTGAATCCATCTGTTAAACGCATTTTACATAAGGAGTTGAACATCTGGCATACCTTTTAAAAAAAACCAAATAAAATATAGTTCAACATATTAATATTTGAGATAAAAACCAAAAAAGTCAACAGTGCATAAGAACTGCTCAGATGAACAAGCCAACAGTGAAGCTGATGCCCCCCTCCAATATCCCCAAAATATAGATGACAAATACTAATTAGTTGCACATTTATCTTTTTGAAAAGTATCGAGCTACGAGATTGAATAGATTAGCAGAAAATGTTAATCATTGAACTCAGTCAAGACATTCACCTAATGAACACCTACCCCAAGTTTAAAAATTCTACTGCATTTAAAACCAGAATTCTTATGTTCCAAAGTCTTGAACAATCAAATTGTTATAGCTACTTAGCCTAGACAGAAGATTATCATCATCGAACTTAGTCAAGGTGTTGGTATAATGAATTTATAGAATGGGTTTCATCACTCCCATCCAATTAGAACCAAAGTTATTGTGTTCCAAATTTATAGAATGGGTTTGATCACTCCCATCCAATTAGAACCAAAGTTATCGTGTTCCAAAGTCTTAACCAATCAAATTAGGGGGAAATGTGCATGATTAAACACTGTCAAGGCATTCACCTAATAAACCCCAACACCAAATTTGAACATTCTACCTCATTTGGAAGGGGAGTTGTTGTGTTTCAAAGTCTCGACTAGTCAGATTGAAGTACCTACTTAACCTAAGCAGAAAATGTTCATCATCGAACTAAGTCAAGGTATTGGTGTAATGAAACTATACACAAAGTTTCACCAATCCCACTCAATTAGAATCAAAATCAAGCTCCAATTTCTCAACCAATCAAATTACTTATCGCTCTGCTTACCCTCAGCAGAAAATGCTCATTATCGTACTTAGACAAGGTATTGATATAATGAAACTATACACAAAGTTTCATCACTCTCACTCAAATAGATTCATGTAAGTAGTCATGTCCCAAAGCATCAACCAATATTTTGTCAACTTGTCTAAATATATCTCGTTTTTTTTTGTTTTTTTTTAATTAAATTGATCAACAAACGAGTTACACGTCACAGATCCTCCACCAAATCTATACCTGCCTATTTGGACATTTTAATGGATTTATACTCTTAACCAGGAATTTACTGTTGACGAGAATTACCTTAAAACCACAGTCAGCAGTCACTACAAGGAAAACTCAAGGATGATTCATACAGAGTGATGCCCGGACAAGAGCCAACTACCCCAGCGGAACACTAGGTTGTGTCACCAAGATGATGAAAGATCAACATGCTTTCAATGCCGCATAGAATTTAGCACAGCATAGTCGATATACCTCACCAGAAGTATCTACGAAACAGTGACTCTCACACCCGAGGCTAACACAGATTCTACCAGTAGAGAATCCAAGATGACACCTACAACAACTCATTCTTACCCAAAACAGTTAGAGACTGGAACTAGTTTCCAGCAAGAGTAGAGTCAGCCACCTCCCTAGAAGAGATTAGATCATTCCTTTGAGAGCAATCCACTTCGTCAGACTAGTGTCACTTTTGTAAATAGTTTTAACCCTCACGGCCACGCTCAGTTTAAAATGTACATTGTTAACTTGTTAAGCTGAGCATCATCACCATGCTATGCCTTTCATTGAACTATTTATGGTCTGAGAAGATCTAGCTTGTTTGGTATTACTATAATCTACGCTGGTCTGTCAGGTTATATTTTTATTGAATTGATCAACAAACGAGTTAGGCCTACACATCAGATCCTCTTCTGAAACTATACCCATGAATTTGGACTTTTTTACATAGTTACAATGTTAACCAGTTTAGATTACATGTAGATCTAGTTTGTTTGGTACTATATTTAACTTTCATGAAAATCTATAACGGTATATTTCTCTGCTCTTAATCCGTCCAGCATGATATTCATATGATATTGCACGCAGACATATCATGTCACCAGAAGGCAAACTGTTTACTTTTTTATTTGTTGGGATGAATCAAAACTAAAAGTGGTCATGTGCATATCGTAGGCCTAGATAGAACCTTGAAGATTCTCTTATAGCCTAATTGGAAATCGAAATGGAGGAGGGCTCAGTAGGCACTATCTGGTGGGTAAAAATCCCCTTTAGGTTAGGCCCTTGACCTTATCATTTTATGCCTTATCTTATAATAGCCTACATGTACATTACTGCAGGACATATTATGACCGTTTTCATCGGCATGGTGGATGTTGTGAACGATGTCAAGCCCCATTTCAATTCATTTTTTTTTAGAAAACGTCCCTTTAAAAAGACTAGAATAGTTAGTTTTGATTACGTCATTTGGGTATTTCCCGGAAGTGCTAAGAATAAATCAATGAATATAATTAAGCAAAGAAATGTCATAATAAATCATTATTAACTTGACCAGTACCTTTCTAAGTTCAGCTAATTGTGCATAACTACAATATGAGAATATTTTCATCATTACATGTTGTGGCAAAAGAAGCAAATCCGGATAATCCATTGTGTTTAGATCGTCATTGAATTTCTCTCTAAATGCGGCGGCCATCTTTGTAACTTTACATTGGCAAGGGACATCACTCTCCGCTTAGGTCAAGAGGAATTAATAAACTACGTTCGAGGTATTAAACTAAAAACGTGACCTTTTAATTCAGTTAGATCATAGCCTGATGAGTCGGAATGTATTCATTTGGAAGGGGTCCTGCCAAAATTAATACTGCAGCAAGAAATGTGAGAAGTCTACCGAAACAAAGAGACAACACAGACTCATCGGAATCGAATTCTAAGAGATTTATGAATTCGCCGAAGCCCACGTTCAATGGCAATAAGGTCAATAATATAACAATATCCAACAGCGAACCAGTGGAATTTTCGTCTCCACAGCACGAAGAAATCTCTAAATATTTATCAGAGAATTGGCACAAAGTTTGCAAAGAATGTGAAATTAGCAAGAAAAAAGATCAAGAAAGTGGACCTTTGTGGTATAGAGAGAAAACACCAAATCCGAAATTATCAGACTTTGAAGCATTTGATTTGGATGAATGGTGGAGAGAAAGATATCTGCAGAAAGCCAATGCCTTATGAACTCCGAAATCAGAACTCAAAAACTGTGCTTGTGAACTCATTGTAATATACATTTTATCACTGATTCAGATTATTTTAATGTAGGCCTATATATACAATAAATATTTTAATTTTTTTTTGCATATTGTTTTTCATCATGTGCAAATTTTCCCATTGAGGAATATTTACATGGATATTATATGCCTCATGTATACAAGGTATGCGGTGCTAACAGGAGCTAACTGGTACGGGTTTGGGTTAAAAACCTTGAAGGTCAAAACATCTGTGGTCTAAATGTCCCACATTAGCGCTCATATAAGCTTACATGCCCTAGCTGGTCACACATGGAAGGATATTCAACAAATTTGATGTTTAATGTTGAAAGTTTAATGATATGGAACCAACAGACTGATTGGTGTAGAAATAACCAAGATAGGCTACTACCTCCTAAGTGACTTAATAGTAGTTCATTGAAAGCTGTGTGAGTACATTAAAACAATGGTGTACAGGGGCCAACTCCTGTCATCGATATAATCCACGGTGGAAGCGGACGTAAAGCCTTAAACAAGCAACCAACCAAGCAGGGGCCAGCTGAAATGGTTTTATCACTGCAAAAGTCAGTGTTATACATAGCTAGCTTATCAATGACATTGAACCGGTTATTGCATAAGCCAGTACTGTATAGTTAGAGATCAATCAGTGCTTAAAGTAGCAGGATTTCATTGATTTATGTAAAAAAAACAATTCATTATAATTTAGTTTCTCTTTCATTTAGCCATAGTTTCTCACAACCTGGGATGTATGGACGAAATCTGTTTTATAGAGAGAGAATCAAATTCAATGTTATCTTTGCATTTATAAAATTAATTTTATCCGATCTAAGCAAATCAACACTTATATTTTACACAAATCCATGGTTTTAATTTGGTGGATTTTGAGATGTCTTTAAGATGTTAATTGGTCTATTGCATAGTAATAATTGCTGAGTAACGAAGAAGCTTGTTTACTAATTTAGGCCTAAACATGAATGTAAAATCTGCATATGTCAATTCTTGTACATGGATTATCTTCAGATTATAGCAGATTAATATCTTTAATAGCTTAATACTTGTCTCATTAAATCCATTTCAAGTATTACTTATCAAGAACTACCTTGTTGTGATTTGAGAAGATTTCTTAATTTAAGATTACTAGCATGTTTATCTAAGACTAAAGTAAGTATCGGTAAGTACATTAATATGATTATTTATTTGGACTATGGCCAATTTCCAAATGTACCAATACTTTGTAGCCCCATAGTCTTGAGATAAAAAGTTAAATAAATTAAGGACGGTAATGTAGCCTAAAAAATAATAACATAAACATTTTTCAAAATCATATCTCTTTTGTAAAGGAAAAAAATACAAGAATATAAATTCTATTTCACGTGGATGAATAAGGGGAGACGACTCCGTTGTCAAATCCTTTTCTTTGTAGATGAACCACCAATTAAAGATGGGCAGCTGAGAAAAAAAAGAGAAGAATTTTGTCTGATGACTAGGGTTACCACCTTTGCTTGAATAAGTTGCGGTGCATATTATCTTTTTTTTTAAAAACTGAGGAACTATGCATAACAATGTTGATATAGTTACTTCACTTTTGGACATGGCAACAATAGACAATCAAGCTATGAAATATTCACACCCAAGCTTGGTTTGTATTCGTATCCCAAACCATTCGTGATAAATATCATATGTACAGAAGACTATTAGGGTCAATCAAATGAAATGGTTAACTAGACATTTATTAACATGACAAATCATATGGGTTTTTTTTTGTTTTCGTTCGTTAACTTCTGCAGACAATAAAAATTGTGTAAAGTAAAAAAAAAAGAAAAACAAAAACAGCAAAAATCAAAATTTAAAGAAGTTTTCCGAAAAATATAAATAGCGTTCTGTGGATTCAAGGAGAGCATTAAAGTTAATGAATCGTGATATTAATATGAAGTTGGTAGGAGTATGAAGTTGGTGGGAGTATGAACTTTATGATTTTAATGGAGGCATGAAAATAACGAATGATATTTATGGGAGCACGACATGAATGTGCCGATTATGTAACATAAAATAAAGTATGAAGTTTGCCTAGCTGTTCGCGATTAATCGGTGTATGGCGACCTTAAAACAAGTTACTCATGGGCTTCTCGGTATCTTGTAATTACAAGATAGGCTACCTTAGGCTATCTTGTAATTACAGGATAGCTAAAGTCACGGAGAGCACTTATAGTATCACTTTAACAACCTTTAAATCAAAACTTAAAATCCTTCTATTCCAAGAGACCTTTAATTGTTTATTTTATTTACATTTTCACTTCATCGTGTTGTTTGTATTTAGTTTACTATTTTATAGATGTTTCTATATTCAGAATGTATTGTAAAGCGTAATTGAACATCCATTTCCAAATGTATTGTAAATGGCACCTGTATATTGTCGCCATTTTTTTTTTTATCCAAGAACTCTACATATTTTCTGCATTCTGATCAGTGCCGGCTTGAAGGGTGTGCAAATTGTGCGGTTACAAAAGGCACGCAATTTAGTGATTCAATACGAACATTTAACCGAAAATATCAACTTTCGTTGAACAGTCTAATTAAAGGGACAATAACACTCTTGCTGGCTTGACAGCTCCAGAAAATAAAAAATAGCCTTATTCTAAGTACTAGATGTGTTAGTGTCCTACCTGTTGTGTAAATTATCCATTAAATCATATTTTACTTGTCCAGAGGGTTCAAAAATATTTTTAAATCCAAGTCACATTTGAAAAACTTTACGTCAGGCTTTCCAAATCATTTAGTTGAATTTTTCCAATTTTTTAAATTAGGTGTGTTAAGATGAAATTTGTATCATCAATTAATTGGAATATTGTAAAATAGTAAAATTTGTTGACCAGAATAAAGATTGGGACATATTATTCAGTTACAACAAGAGTGGTATTGAGCCTTTGAACTGAAATATAATCCTCACAGAAGCCTCTTTGTCAGGCCCGGATCCAGAATTTTGTTGAGGGGGGGGGGCATACATTGGAGCAAAGGGTAATCATGCATTAGTGGTTTAGTGTAGTCGCCAGAGTCTTCGTCGTGGCCTCATTAAACAGAAACTGAAATCTGGAAATCCCATTGCTGGCTGCAGGTGCTGGTCTGAACAGTAATGACCAGTCTCACTGGGGCTGAGGGGGGGCACGGCCCCCAGCCCCCCCCCCCCTGGATCCGCGCCTGCATGTTTAAAACCAATGTGTCCATATCCTCTGCCATCGATTTCATCAATCGAGGATAAGTTTTATGAATAGTCAGCAATTAATGGGATACAGAAGATATAATTCTCCTTAGTTTCTGTCACATGTTCATCAGCGTGTGCATTTTTGGGTAGTTGGTTGGGGCGGGGGAGATGGATGGGGACGAGGACGGAACAGCCCCCCCCCCCAACTCTAGGTACTTACAGTTAATTATACGTTAACAACAGTGTTAGAATCTCTCGACACAGTATGCCAAAACGGAAATTAAAATGAGTAATAACGCCGGCTTCAGCTAAATGTTTCAAAACACATATCGGACAGAGCTGGCTCCTTCAAGAGGTTCAAGTGATTTATCAAAGTTATCCATTATGTATAGGAAAAGTGAAGCATAACAAACACATTAAATACTGACATAAAAAATGGATGAAAAATATATACAATAGATTTGCGTAGTGAAAGGATAAGCGGCTGTATCGATGTTTGTCGGACAGTGGCCTTTTCATGAATGACCTATAATAATCCGCCATGTATAAGCAATAAACCATTTCGAATCCATGACACTGCATATGAGTTGTGGGTCGGGGTCTGAGAGTAAACTGTCTATTGGCAACTTTCTCGACCAACATTTTTCTTTAGGTTGCCATCCGTTTTAACTTGGGTATGGAACAGAACAGTTTCACATCTGAAACGTATACTATTCTCGTCCGTCCAACTAGGCTAATGAAGACGGAAATACGCAATAGTGTGCCGTATACGGTCTACTCTTATTTCGAATTCCAGATGTCAATCCTACTCTTATTTCGAATTCCAGATGTCAACCCTACTCTTATTTCGAATTTCAACTGTCAAGGGTTCTTTTACGTTCACGCCAATGTGTACACGGGACCTCAGTTTATCCATCTAAACAACTAGACCCTGTTCCTTCTTAGGTCCTCTGTTCTCCCGTTAAAAACTGTAGCTTCTATCGCGTCAGCGAGCAAATTGTGGATGGACGGCGGACAGATCGTTGGGCCGACATTAGTGACGATATAATACGTATAAAATTGTCAAAGGAAAACCTCACCTTGAAATGTTATTTAATTTTAACGGCGATATAGATAGGCTACAAAGGAAGTTAGGATTTTCTCGCAACTCCCCACCCCTTTCAAATTTGATCTGCTTTTAGTACACTTAATATAAGTGGCTTTACAATTTCCGATGCCCTTCACATTAACGTTGCACCCCCGCTCCCCCGACCCGTCTCCAA